CTGGAGACGCCGGCGCCCGGGCCCGAGGCCGCGGCGGGCAAGCCGGACCTGGAGGAGCTGGTGGCGCTCACCCCGCCGTCCCCCTTCAGAGACTCGGTGGACTCGGGGAGTACCACCCCCAACTCGCCGGTGTCCGAATCTGCCCTCTGTATCCCCTCGTCTCCCAAATACGACACGCTGATCATAAGAGATTACACCCAGAGCTCCTCGTCCTTGTGAATGTCGTGGGAAGCCGCGCGGGTTCCCCAAAGGAGCCGAGACCCGAGGCCGCAGGTGTTCACACGGGGACGAGCGTGGGCGCCCGGCTGCGATCGGAGGTGGAGGATGCCCAGCAAAGCCGCAGCGGGAACAGGAGGCCAGCCGCGCTGTGGAACATCAACCGACGACGACACCAACGACAAACCTTCCGGCGGATTTTCTTCCAGTGGCCTTAGAAAACATGGGCTTTTAAGAAACACTGCTATTTCGGAGGGCTGACAGCAGTCTGTTAAAACAGTCCCATACCAAGTGCTTTGCTCCAGGGAAGCAGTGAGTGTGACACAGCATAACGCAGGGGGGAAAGCATAGTTAATAAGCAACTGTAAAAAGTTTTGTTTGTTTACTTGAGTTCTTTTCCCAGAAGATTCTTTGAGTCACCAAACATGAATGTACATTTTCTAACAAACTCAAAATCTGGGACCAAAACGTCAACCTCTCTCTTTTTTTCTTGTTTTTTCTTTTTCCTTTTAAAGACCTTGAAAAGCAGTACTTTGGGCCCAGTGTTTACTAAGGCGTAGTGAGTGTGCCCAGGAGGCAGAACACACAACTGGACAGTGAGTGGCGCGCTGTTGTGTGTAGGGCTTATATCCACAGACTGACTTTCCAATTTGTTTGTGAAACCCTCTTCCAGAAGCCTGCATCCGGATTCCACCTGTTTATTTCAGTTCACCTCCATTAACCAAGAAAACCAGTGGAAGATTTCTTGACTATTTCACCATGTTGCCAATCAATACTGGAGTAGCAAAAAAATATTTTCTGGAATACTGTTTTGTAATTCCCTCATTGGGGTGCGTTGTTGTAGCTGGAAATTCTCTTTATAATAATAATAATTCTTAAGCTCCAGCTTGGCTATCTCTCTCATGAAATGTGGCCACTCCTCCTTACGAATGCTGTTCCGATAGTGTTGCCAGCTAAAATATTAACATACGCATTTGGGCTTCTTCATACCTTTCTGTTGAGAACCTGATGCACAAAAAGCTCCTCTGTTCTTTTCAAGTCCCACCACTGGAAGAATGGTCCATAGACCCAATGAAGACATTGTCACGTTTGCAGAGACTGTTGTTCAAAAAATTAACAGTCTTAATACACTGGGAATTTTAAACTGTGTCAAGTCGGCTTAGCAGAGATTTAGCCATGCCAGTGAGCAGTGATTTTAACTTTCCTTGGCTGCTGAAACAGGGCAGCTATGAACTATGACAAATGTAGATTTTTTTCAAAGCAATACAGAATACTAAAACGGAGGAACCTTAACGAATATAAACCACACAGTCTTTCTTAGCCATTCCAAAAAGAGGCAAAGCAATTATGAATATTTTCCTTTTTAAAATAATTATTAGTATAATTTTGTGCACTTCAGACTGTCACTTTTTAAATACTGCAGAAAAGAGATTTAAAATTATAATAGAAATACACATGCTTTGATAGGCTCATGTAGATAGAATTCACAGCTCAAGACCTGCATCCACTGTCATCTCTTTCTTCCTCCCATTACAGCTATCCTCAGGTGCCAAATGTTTTCGATTTTTAAATAAGGATAGTAATAAAAGGAGGAGGTATCCTATAAATTTAAAGTTGAGTTGACCCAGCCTTATACTAAAGATAGCCTTATGAAAAAGTTTTTCTGTGAGGCGGAAGTATATTTTTGGCCTGAGAGAAAAGTAAGTAAAACCTTTTTCCTTTTGCTCAATATCCTTATTTTGTATGTATGTTTTTTGTTTCACATTTACTTAAAAAATGAAGTGAGAAATGGAAATATATCCACTGGCCATAATTTATCATTCTCCACTTTTAAAAGCTATAATAAATATATTACTGGGTTTCCCTTTCCTGATACTTGTTTTAATATTAAATTTTAAATCTCCCAATATAAAATATTAAAAGCTAACATTAATTTACTGAAATATAAAATTAAAAATCCAAACCTCCCATGACAGATTTGAAATAACGTTATTAGAGCACCCTAATCCTAAATATGATAATGACGCTCTTGAAACAGAGTGAATCTCACAAAAGTTTATGGTTTCATTGAAAGCAAATGTCTGCCTCTACTTGAAAAACAAATGTAAATATTTCGAAGTATAATTACCCCTGGATCCTCATCAAAAGGGTGGAATTCACCTGAGGATTACTGTCTTGATTTCTTAGGCATTGAAACCTTTCTAAATATGCTTTACCATCTAAGTTTTAAAATTTGTTTCATAAAACCCTTATGTTCACTTCCATTTTATTCTCAAGTACAAGTTTCACTGTATTGACCAACAGAAGAACATTTTTTTACCTTTCTCCACGATCAAATTCCTTTTCTAATTTCTTAGTAACGTATTTCTTTCAAAAGTACATGAATTTATTAGAAATTGAAATTTAATGCAAATAAATCACCATGTAATAATTCCACACTAAATTACAATCAACTCTAAGAAAAGTAATTTATCCAATTAGAGGTGAACAAGATGTATTTTCCCTGTATTTCTGTACCCTCTGCCACTTCATTCTATACATTGTATAATACATATTATTTATTAGTAATGCATTCCTGAGATTTTTTTTTATTTTGGAATGATGCTAACTCTGTCTCTTTGCCAATTCTCATACCAGGTTCCAAGTAATAAATCTTCAACACAAAGAGAACTGAATATTCATTCTAGGGCTAAGATACGAACTTCACATTTAATTTGGGTACCTATTTTCATTGATTTTCCTTGAAAACAATCTGTTCCTGGTGCCCAGTGATAATTCAGCTGGGACTAAAAGGAAGGGGAGAGCACAGCGAAATACTAAAGTTCAGAAAAGTGACCCTAAAGGACAGTTTGGTCCCAGGATGGAAAAAAAGAAGACTTGGTTTGATCACGTTACATGGAGCAGTCTACCTGTTCTTTGATTTGGGGAGAGGAGTGGGGCAGCCTGAGAAGAGCATGTCTGGATTGGGAAGAACCGTCTGTCCAGATTAGGGGCGGGGAACAGAAAGAAGGGAGCATGGACACGAGAACCAGATGAAATTTGACTGAAGCAAAGAAAAACTCCCGAATGTGCTAAGCCTTGATAGTGACAGTCTTCCCCAAGCTACTGCTGCTACCAGCAAGTGATCAGGAGGACTAGGAGCTATTTCTGACTGTAAATGAATTGTATAATGGCTCTGCTGCAGTTCTGTGACTTCCAAGCCAGGAATTAAACACTTATTAAGGGAAAAACAAACAAACATTTCCTATGCTCGTCTCCCAGCAAAATGTACATGTTTTGGAGACTTCAAAGGTATTATCTGAGTTCACATTTAGCCACAGCTTATTAATAACCCTCAAGCTGTCAGAATCTCTATAGTAACCATTTACAATTTTATACTGTGAAAAAAATACAGATCAGTGAAAACCATAACGATAAATTAGAATTCACTTTAAAGAGGGTCTGAGGCCTGGGAGATTCTCTACTATCTGTTGAAGAAAGTGGCATGTATAAAATAGTTGGCTGAATTTCACTGATCTTCCCAATGTGAACAAATATACTATGTATATTGTGTGTATTTCTAGATTTCAATGGCAGCTGCTGGTGGTGTTGTAATTAGAAATCTATATAGAATATAGATGTTTTAGGGAGATGGTGCCAATCCTAAAAGATTTGTGTGGACTACAAGTGCTTGTACTTACTTTTTTCTGCACTTATAACTGATTTGGTTTTAAAATTGTGTGCGTGTATCTGTTCTTTTTCTGTTGTTGCAGCTTGTACTATTAAAACAATAGAGAATGTTAAATTATTTTGATGTGAATTGCAAATGATTTTTTTCATAAAGTTTAACATTTTTATCAGCATTGTTTCGCTTTGTACTTGTATAAATGTGTTTTATTTTAGCATTTTAAAATACACTTGCCTGTTTCTCAGTTGTCTAAATCATGTTATGGTTGGTGTTTGTGAAGTCAGTTACTTTTTGAAAAATATTAAAAAAGAAACTATGATATGACTTTAAGATTCTTCCCCTTAAATGTTTAGAATGTTGTCTTAATAGTGTTTTCTAAGACCCAAAGAGCCATACTCTAAATCTTAAATTCTGAATGATCTACATATTTGAATTACGGGGTTTACAAAGTAGTCTGTGGACAGTAGATTAAAATGAAAATATAAACCAATCACAAACCAACCAGAGATGCTATACCCAAAGATATCTACAAACACCTTTTAAGACAAACTTTACAAACAACAACAACAAGGAAATAATTAAAGCAATAAACCTTGTTTTCTGTGTATGTCTGAAAATATAAATACAAATTATATAGTTCCACAATTGTCAGTGTCGATAGAGGTAACATCACAAAAATAATATAGATTTTGTGTGTGTAGATATATGTATGTATAAACAAACACACACATCCATATAGATATTTCACTTTTGAGTCCATCTGTACATGTTTTCTGTGTGTATGTATTTCTTTATGCATGTATGGGCAGATATACATAATTTTCCTAGAAAAAAATTTACTTGTCAAGTCACTTTTTACTTTGATGGATTCTTCAGTAAATTTACACTCCCTGAACACAGATTAGCTAAAACCAAAAGGCAAAATCTAGGCTATATATTTAATGTGTGGAAGAGAAAAACAAGTTAGATTTTAAAATATAGCTTCTCTTTGCTTCCCTACATTGTAATAATTATTAACTTATGACATATACATATATTCTTATAATTCATATGGAAGTTGATACAAAAATATGTTTGATCTTAAAAAAGAAAGCAATTTTTTTGTGTCCTTTGTCAGACTTTCCTGCTTTAGTGTCTTCTAAGTAATAAAAATAGTCATATGTTTATATAAACTTGAGATCAAGGTGAGGTGTCTGGACAACATACAGAAAATTATCTTCTAAAAATCAAGAGTCTTGTGAGACTCTGTAGAGTCGTGGAAGGCCAGTCCAAACCAGCTAATGCAATAGAAATGGCATTGAATTAAAAGTCAGGACCTATTAGCCTGTCTCATATGACCTTGGATAAATAGACTTCTCTATAACTCAGTTCCTCTTTCTTTAAATGCAGAAGTGAGTAACAACAATCTGTGAGATTTCTTTCATTTCCATCATTCCTGGTATATGATAAATGCTCAGTGGATAGTATCTGTTTTTAGTGGCAACACAGACAGTTAATATTCAGCAGGCAGCTTAGATATGTTGTGCTCAGTATTTCTTGTAGAGCTATATAACCAATTCTTGTCCAACTTAAAGCATACATACTTGGGGGAGGGGAGCTATTGACATTTGAACTCATATGCACCCTTGGAATTACCTATCTTAGAATGACTTAGAAAACTAACCTGAAACACCACAGAAAGAATGCTTTTCATCTTTAATTATGCTTAATGCTGGCCAGTTTTTTGATTATCCTGTATGTGAATGATAAGTCTTAAAATATAAATAATTCTAAAACATTTACTTTTTCTAGGGTAGCTAGCTAGCTAGATAGGTAGGTAGATAGATAGAATTATATTAATAAAATTATCTCCTTAAAAAAAAACATAGTATTTACAGATTTTTCTCAAAGTATTTCAAAGTTTAGAATCAGTTACATTTTACCCTGTTTATTATTTTTTTAAATTATTTTAAGAGTTAAATTCTATGAAGAAAACTTTTAGCCCAGCCGTCATGGCTCAGCAGTTGAGCATCAACCTATGATCCAGAAGATCGTGGTTACATTCCCAGTCAGGGCACGTGCCCGGGTTGCGGGCTGGATCCCCAACAGGGAGCATGCAGGAGGCAGCCAATCAATGACTCTCTTATCATTGATATTTCTCTCTCTCTCCCTTCCTCTCTATGAAATCAATAAAGACATATTTTAAAAAAAACAAAAGGAAGACAACCTTTAGAATCAACTTCTCTGGACATTCTTAGAACCCTAAGCCAGAAGTATTTATGGGAAAACATAGCTTAACCTCAACAAGAATAAATATTTTTAATTAGCTTTTACTTCAGACCAAAGGCATTTATTTTTGCCAGGACATACAAGTCTTTTTTATATATATGACCTGTATGAATATTTATATAAATAGGATAATTATGTATTCTATATATCAGACATTTTTGGCTTATTTATATGTAGCTCATATTTTTACTCATTGACATAAAATAAAGCTTTTCATAACTGTCCATAACAGGATAAATTTGATATAATAAATTATATAAATGATATGTTCATGAAAATTATATAATATAGCAAATTGGCTTTTCTGAACTGCTAAATAGTAATAGATGTTTTATAAAGTAAAAGTTTTTAGAGTTTTAAAAGTTTGGAAAACAAAATAACTATAAGTTAAATGGCTGCCTTCACCTCAGAACTTGCCAGTCTTTAAAAAGGCAAATGTGCATTAACTATGAAAATCATTTTTTTTTTCTTAGTAGTTTTCTCTGAGTAATTTTATGGAACACATTTTGGAAATGCTGTGCCGTTAAATTTATAATTTATACATACTTTTTCTTTTAGTCACAAAAATTAATGATCTCCAAAGGCTTTTAGAGAAGAAAATATGAATTGATACAGTTATAGCATCAGTTTCAGAACCATTTCAATCAATAGTGGGAAGTCTTGCTTATTTTTTATTATTCACTTTCTCCCTATTTATTGACTTCGCAGAACTCTACCAGCACACATAAACTTTACTTTCAGGGGTCAACTGAGGGTTTTCATTTCTTTTTTGTTTTCATCATACATATTGGATGGTTCCCTTACTTCCAACAGCCTCAGATGGAGCAATATGTGAGATTGTAGCATTCATTAGTGGATGTTGAATAGTCAGTGAATTATATTCCAAGAACAGAAAATGAAATAAAATTTAGAGGACTCAAGTAACGTAAACACCAAGAACAATCAAACAAATATATTTAAAACTTTGCTCCTGTTAAACAGAAGATATTCTTTTCATCATCCATGGAACATTCAAAAACATTAACCTTAGATGTGATGACAAAGGAAATCCTAATACATTTCAAAAAGTTAAAATTGTATAGGCTACATTCACTGGCTTAAAAAGCATGAAATTTTGAATATATATATATTATATATATTTATATATATATATTTTTAAATATATATATATAAATATATATTATATATATATATATATATTTTTTTTTTTTTTCNAGATTCCCAGTGAGGGTACATACCTGGGTTTTGGGTTCAATCCCTAGTCAGGGTACTACGAGAGGCAACCAATTGATGTTTCTCTCTCACATAGTTGTTTCTCTCTCTCCCTCCCCCCTCACCCTTCCTCCCTCTCTAAAATCAATAAAAACATAACCTTAGGTGAGGATTAAAAAAATGAATAAAATCACAACCTACTTAAAAATGAACATTAGTGAGTATCTTGCATATTTAAATCTGCATAACAGCCAAAGAATGGTCCAAAGAAAATATTTTATTCTAAATGCATACATTTAAAAACAGACTGAAGCCCAGCTGGCGTGGCTCAGTGGTCGAGCATGGACCTATGAACCAGGAGGTCACCAGGAGGTCACCGCTGGATTCCGGGTAAGTGCACATGCCCAGGTTGCCGGATCATCCCCAGTAGAGGGTGCCCAGGAGGCAGCCAATCAATGTTTCTCTCTCATCATTGATGTTTCTCTCTCTCTCCCTCTCTCATTCTGTCTGAAATCAATAAAAAATATATATTTAAGTTTTTGTAATTAAAAAATAAAAATAGACTGAAAATAAATATTCGTATGAACATATTAAAAATAAACAATAAAAACAGAAAATACAAATTAATATTAAGTCAAAATTAATACAAGGAAACAAATATCTAACCAAAATTAAAAGTGATCATTTAAACCTGTCTTTTATTTGAAAATACCAATACCCTGAGATTCATTAAACCTAATGAAGTGAAAGAAACCACAATTAACATTAGTAATAATAAAGGGGTCATAGCTATATGAATAGAAGATATATGTAAAACACGAGGTAAAACTTTATACATATAAATTTGAAAATACAGATTAGGCGGATGTTATTCTAGGAAAATATAAATTATCAAATTGAAACAAAAACAAGTAGAAAACTCATACCAATAATGACAGCATACGATAAAAGGACATTTCAAAATAACTAAAACGCATAAGCCTAAATATTTTACAGGTGAATTTAATTATGGTATACAATAAATATCCAGTTTGTTGTATATGACAGGATTTTCTTCTCTCTTAAGGCGTTTCCATATCTTTAGCTATTATGAATAATTAAAAAAGAATTAAACGTGTCCACGCATGTTGCCCAAGACCCTTGTAGCGAGTTCTTGGGAGAAGGCTGGGCCTTTATTGGCGGAGCCACCCCCGAGGTTGTGGGCGGGAGGCGCGGGAGCGGGCGGCGCCCTTGCCGGGGACGCGCTTCTCCGGCTGGATTTCCACCTGGTCGGAGGTCTTGCCTTCGAGGACGCCCAGGAACTCCCGCGAGATGACGGCAGCCCACAGGCGCGCCCTCGGCGCCGGGGGGTTCTCCTGGGCCACGCCCCCTCCTTGGCCCTGCGCAGGCGCCTGAGCAGGGCGCGGCTCCTCCCCGGGCCGTGGTTTAGCCGCCGGCTGCTCCGCTC